CCTAGTTCAACAACTAACATAATAACGCTAAAAATATTTGCTGAAACTCACATTGGAGGACAAAATACCTAGTTTCTGTGCTTCCAAACTATCAATAATATGAAGGTCAAAGAAGGCAAATAATTATTTCAGATTAAATAAGAATAAAGAATATGACAACTAAATGCAATGGCTGAGCTTCGACCAGGAAATGAAAATGTAGCTATAAAGGCCACTAATGGGGTAACTGTCATCCTCAGAATAAAGAGTGTGGATGAGATTGTTGTACTAAAGCCATGTTAAATTTCCTGAGTTTGAAATTGAGCTGAGGTTATATAAGAGAGTGTCTTTGCTCTTGAGAAATAAATAGTGAAATATTAGAAGATAAATGGGAATGATTAACTCATGGGCAAATTATTCTCAAATGGTTCAAATATATATGCATAATATGATGCCTATAGCTATTATAGATAATACACAGACTGAGAGAATGATAAATTGGTAAATATAGCAAAGTATTAATAGCTACTGTATCTGAGAGGAGTATACAAAGGAGTTCTTTGAACATTCTTGCAAATCTTCTGCAAGTTTAAAATCATGTAAAATGAAAATGTTCTTTAATAGTGTTATTTCCTTAATGAATTAAGAACAAAAGTATAACCACAGTTAGAAGGCATGTATGAAGTTAGCAGTGAAGGTGCTAGAACACTCAGAGAAGTAGAGAAGGTATGCCAAGGAGGAAAATAAGCTGATTTAAAATACAAGTGGGAGATGAGGACGTGAAGGATAATAAAGATGACTATAGATTGAACCAGTTTACTTGGAAAAGCTGTTTAATGCAAGATGAGAAGCCAGAGCGAAGGCGAGGCGGTTGAATGGTAAACACGTGATTGGCATCCTCACAGTTGCTAGAAAGGCTACAATTTAGTACCTACCAGACTTAAATGCTTATTATCTTCCATACATAGCAAGATTATGCAAACTATTTTACCTGACAATCTTTAATGTTATGTTTAAAATTGAAGAGCATTCTACAATAGTATTTAAATTTCCTGAAAATAGTAGCTAGTAACAATCATTTTTGTTTGAAGATAGTTGTTATAGAAAAATATGACAAATTTGATTAAAGCCTTTTCTTAGACATGTAAATAATAAAAATTTAACTCAACAAAAGTTTTCTATTTGAGCATTATTTAAGAGTAAGGCAATTTTTATATAATAATAAGTCATAAATGTTTCTAAGAACCTAAAATGACCTACTTATATGTGGTTTCACTGTTTAACTCCCTTTTTCATAGGATTGCTATATATAACCACTTCCCTCAACTCTGGGGGGATTTAGTAGGATTAAAGACTTTTGACTTACTTTGTATTTGAAGATTCTTTTTTTTCCCTCCATCTTTGCTCAGCTAGTGGAATCCATGATGAATTCTCATCTCCAAGGGGTAAGCTGTTTTTTAGTAAGACTCAGTAGCTGGCTTAGGACTCCTTAGACATAGTGTTGATTCCTTCCTTTTCCTGTGTTTTGTTTCTTCCAGAATAATAGAATCTGTGTAGACACAATCGGCTATCATGCTTAGATACTATTAAGCATGTAACAGCTGTAGTTTGTTCACACATTGTTTGCATAATAAATATCTGGGCTCATATCAGAGAATTAAATAAGCATTTAGCTTTCTACTTGTTTAGCTTGAATAAAATTAGGAAGAAGAAGTTGAACAACAGACAAGAGTTCCTAGAGAATGACAACTCAAGTAGCAACAATGTACTTGAGTATTATGTGGTGCCTGCAGCAGATTGGGGGCAAAAAGAAAGAATTTAGAGTAAAAAAAAACTACATTTAAGAGGTTCTCTGACCTTTGAGTACTCTATAGAAGAGAGAAGAAGGTCGTTGTACTTAAGAAGTGATAGAAATGTAAAGCTAAGGTATCAAAACAAATAAATTATAATATCAAATAAAAAGGAAACCACATAAAAATGGAAAAGGGTTTTACATGAATTCATTCATGTTCAGCTCCTTAGCAAGAAGGTCCTTCAGTTACTGTTTTTAAATCGAAAAACAAAGAAAAATACTGAAGTGTTTGCCATCTTCAAATCGTTTATTTCTAGAGAGGAAAGGAAAGGAGAAAATTCTATTCTGCTCTCCTAAGAAACCATTAACTGAAGAGTATATTAGTGTCTGATAACTTTTATAGCAAAATACTCTATTATCTGGCTTGTTTTTATAGGGAATGTTTGTATATCTTGGCCAATGAATGGGATAAAGAGTTGCAATTTGCTTTAGAAGTACCTTAGAAATGCATAGTAGTATTGCACTTTCAAACTTCTTGGATTTTTAAGGAGGCTTCTTCAAAGGATGTCATTAATAATCTTCTCAGGTGCTTACAAAGCATGTATCTGTCAGCAGAATTAGAGAATCACCCAACTAAAGAACAGGTTTCACAATACCCTGAGACCTATTTTGTTCATTAGAGAGGAAAATGGCTTGTTTTAAGTCTAAATTGACATGCTTGCTAATTTCAGCAGTAAAAGCTGTTCATTGTGGTCAGGTTTAATTTAGAGTCCAGGAAGGAATAAAGTTGAGTTACTTTTACAACATACTTTTTAAATGAACTTTGAAATTTGAAAAGAAGAGAAAAACATGGAGTGATATATCTGAAAGTGAAAAGTAAAGAATAGTCCAGCTGTTTCAGGGTGAACAATTATTAAATAACCTAACATAAATATTTTAATTATTCTAATAAAAGTGTTTTCTGTATAAAATTTTCAAGTATTAAATTATGTACCATTTCCATATATATATATATATATATATATATATATATATATATATATATATATATATATATATAACACACACATTGAGCAAAATAATGCAAGTTCAAGCATGAGGACTGGCAAACACACACACTATATATATATATATATTACACACACACACACATATATTTTGTTGGTGCTGAAGGTGGTCATGGGGCTTGAACTCTGGGCCTGGGTGCTGTCCTTCAGCTCCTCAGCTCAAGGCTAGCACTCTACCACTTGAGCCATAGTGCCACTTCTGGTTTTCTGGTGGTTAGTTGGAGATAAGAGTCTTGCAGACTTTCTTGCCCGGGCTGGCTTTGAACAGCGATTTTCAGATCTCAGCCTCCTGAATAGCTAGGATTACAGGTGTGAGCCACCGGCACCTGGCTTCCAGGTATATTTTTCAGGAATATATCCATAGCCTCTAGAACCATACCTAGCATTTGAAAAAAAAACTATTTATTAACTTGCACAAGCTAGTAAATGAATAGACGAATTCATGTGGTTGTCTGGGCCTATGTAAAGGTCTTCATAAAATTTGAGATTGAGATTTTGCTTTATTGAAAGTTTCTGTGCAAATCTGTTTATTTAAGAGGACATCTATCAAATGTATTCAAATATTTGAGAGTAAGCATTACCACAGCAACTTCTCAGTTTGCTGTGTCACAGATGACCAGACTTTAATATTCTAACTCTGAAAAATATCTTATTTCATAAAAATCTGTCTGGTATTGTGTGGCTTCTACTTTAAGAATTCTTCAGTACTTTCCAACTTACTTATGCTACTTACTTCAAAAGCTGTCTTTGGCAATTTGTTCCATATTTCAAACACCCTTTTGTGTAAAGAAACCATAAAAGTTAGAAACCTGAAAATTGGATTTTTCTTCTGAGCAATCACAGCTTACAAATGTGGAAAATTTGTTAAATGTTCATCCCTCCATTTTTGAGAGAGAGAGAGAGAGAGAGATGCTCTACATAAATGTACAATGTTTGGGTATATGTTTCTCATTATCTCTATATTACCAAGAACAATCAAAGTTAAATTACAAAGCCTATCTCTCTGCTTCTTCACAAAAGAAACACCACTAAATGATTCCAACTTGGCTTTTGCAAAACTACAAGAAATCATAAAAAAAAAAAAACACCAGGAGCCAAAGCGCACCTAGTAGATCAGTTTCATTTTTATCCTTCACCATACTTTAGGTTTTCACTTTCACAAGCCACATGTATTAGTAAAAAGACCACCTTACTTAAAATCAGATAGAATGTATAGCTTGGTTATTAGTGTGGTTACTTTGAGGATAAAAATAACAAAACTGTGTAAACCATCTGTCATTGGGAAGAATGGAGAATTTAAGTACTGATTTCTAGATTAGCATTCCCAAACATGCCGAATCATAAAAGGAAATGTCCAAGACAGGTGACATTGGCTCACGCCTGTAATCCTAGCAACTCAGGAAGCTGCGATCTAAGGATCCTGGTTCAAAACCAGCCCAAGGAGAAAAATACATGAGACTCTTATCTTTAATTCATCACAGGAAAAGCCAGAAGTGGCACTGTGGCTCAAGTAGTAGAGTACTAGCCTTGAGCAAAAGAGCTCAGGGGCAATGCCCAGGCCTAGAGTTCAAGACCCAGGACCAGAAACAAAGAAAGGTAGATTTCCAGCCCTTCTTCCTAATTCATTAGTTCTGAGATATGCAAAGAAGTTTAGTGATTTCAATGGTAAGCATTTTGGGGGAAAAACTGATTTAACTCACTTATTTCAGCTCTTTATGTGTCAGGTACAAAGAAGTTAAATAACCCTTCAACTCACTTATGTAGTGTTTTTGCTTCTATGATAATTATAAACATTAATTTTATAACCTCTAACATGAGATATAAGCACAAATAACTTTTAAATATATTGCCATAATTCAGAAGTACCTTTCTTGTATGTTGGCTTAAGTAAACCAAGGTTCGCTGGAATGACTCCATCTAAAATCTTCAGTAGTGAAGCAAATCAATAATGAAGATTTCTACTTGCAATATTTTTTGGTGTCTAAGAATGAAACACATTTCTTGTTCAATTATTTTCTGTAAAGCCTTACATAGTAGAGATTTATATCTGGTAACAATTTTTTTTATTTCTAAAAGTGTTTTGGCTGGTTGGAATATTGTACTTTACCTTGTATTACACAAAAAAAGAGAACTACAAAATTAAATGGTATTTGTTGTTTCAGGCAACATTGCAGGATTTAGAACAGAGGCGCCCCCAGTTGGAAGAACTCATTACTGCTGCTCAGAATCTGAAAAACAAAACAAGCAATCAAGAGGCCAGAACAATTATTACTGACCGAAGTAAGTCTTTTAACAAGCATGGGAAACTCAAATCAAGATGCATGAAAATTCTGGTTATAACTTATATGAATATTTCTACATCAATTTATAGAAATAGGAAATCATTGGAGATTATAACTATTATACTGAATAAGATTTTTACTCCATACTGTTATATTTCAAAAGTGAGTCATTACAATGACTAGAAGAAACGTTTTTCAGTAGAAAGGGTGAAAACTGTTTCAAGGCAAACATTGTATGGAGGATATGAAGCACAGTAAGGCAGAACATTTACTCCTGGGTTGTCATCTATCAGGGTTGGCATCCATGGAGATACCAGACTCTCCTCATAATCTTGGTTGTTGGTTCAAACATGTAATTGCTACTTGGACCACCTTTCACTTGTCATCACTGTCACCATCTTCTTCCTCTCCCTCCTCCTCCTCCTCTTCCTCATCCTTTTTTCTCCTTTTTCTCTCCTCCTTCTTCTTCTCTTTCTCCTCTTTCTCTTTCTGCTCCTTCTCCTTCTGTTTCATGTGTGTACTGGTACTAGGGCTTAAACTCAGGGCCTATCCCTCTTGCTTGCCTTTTTATTCAAGGCTGACACTACCACTTGAGCCATAACTGCACTTCCAGCCTTTTACTTCCATCGCTAATGGCACTTGCTGATCTGGAAGTCTCTTGACTACTTTGATACCCTCATTGTCAAATATTGTATCATGGTGGCATGGTGGGAAAAATTATGCTGACCTAGACATTGGACAACTATTTTCTTCTTTACACAGAGTGATTTGAAGTGACTGTGGTCTCAGTAGTTATGCATAGCATCCAAAGAGAATCAGGAAAAACATCCAGAAAACTACTCTCTCTACCTCCATTTCCTTACATTTATCTCAGGAGTGAGGCCCAGGTGTCCTCTGCTATTAGTTTTTCCCCATTCTTTAGAATTTCCCCCTTCCTTCCAGTGCACGTGTTGACACTAAATTTTCTTGCTTTTCATACATTGCCTATACATTTCTCTTCTCACAACCAGAGGAATATTTTCTACTGCAGGAATGAAAATTTAAAAAAAACACACACTTTTTAAGCATCTTTTTTTCTTTCTAAGTTGTTTACGTTAGATGACGCCTAGGCTTTGACACTTAAAAACCATGAATTAGGAGCTGGAAAGGTGGCTCAGTGGTAGAGTCCTTGCCTTGAATGCATGAGGCCCTGGGTTCGATTCCTTAGCACCACATAAAGAGAAGTGGCGCTGTGGCTCAAGTGGTAGAGCTCTAGCCTTGAGCTGAAGAGCTGAGGGACAGCTCCCAGGCCCAGAGTTCAGGCCCCACGACTGGCCAAAAAAAAAAAAAAAAGAAAGAAAAAGAAAAAAAACATGAATTACGTACATCTTCAAAATGTACATTCTTCTATTTCAACTCATCCCTAAGGAAAAAGGGCCAGGATAGCTGACTGCCAATATGTTGGGAGAAGGCAAAGTGAAGACAGAACAAAGTGTTAGTATCTGAAAAGTTCTTTACCACCTTGCAACAGCTAGCCCAAAATACAGGAGGCAGAAAAGTATTCACTTAATGTATGGTTTATGCAGTCAGAGGCTGACGTCTCGATGTATGGGTAAGTAATTGTTTTCTTCTTTGAAAAACAATATGAACATTGGGAAACTTTCTTTTGAGAGGTACTGGGGTTTGAACTCAGGGCCTCCCACTTGCTAGGCTAGCATGTAATACTGCATTGGTTTTCTTCATGATGTAGATTATACTTGAATGATCAGAGAGCAATTTTGGATTCCTCTGCTAATATCCAGGGATTTCGATAATTATATTTTCTAAGCTTTTGCCCTTCACTCTATGAATATCTGCTGCATAATAGAAGGATTATAATGCAACTAGTCTAAAATGACATTTTCTTAAAAGCTGTTAAAACATGTCATGTTGCTTATTAGAAGTATTTGCCAAAATCTTGGATTTCCACTATTCCTGGGGTCTCTGATGCTGAACTAGGACAATTCTTACAGGATATGCTTATCTAAATAGTATCACTTGTAGCCCTTTTATATTTCAGTTTATTTGTCCATTTGAAATCTATGAAATGTGATGAAAATTCAATATTCAAAGTTTCAATAATCTTCAACTGGAAGTTCTCTAAATGTAGATTCAGCTTTTAAGGAAAGGGCCAAAATATAATACTTGTTCATAGAATCATATTTTTCTATTTAGTGATTTTGATCTTCCTTATTTATTGCACTGAACCTTCCACAGATATTAAAAAGGACTCAACTAAATAAAGAAAAGTATTTAATATATGCATAATACTGTACAGAAACAATTGACTCCGGTTCATAACTTTGAATAGTTTGGGAAATTACACATGGTTATTACATTCTATCAATAGAAAAACAGCAAAAAAAACCCTTCCTTTCTACTAGTAATAAACCTCAAATAATTGGGTCTGCAAAATAGCAACATGTTTTACAGTACAGAACTATTGCCATGACATCTGTTATTTTACACAATTATATTGATCAAAATCATGTTGTAATAATCTAGGTAGGAGAATAAGATTTATTTTAAGAGAACTCCAGGGAGAAATTCTCCTTCAATTCTGATGTTCAAATTGCTCCTTTTCCTTCAGTTCTTGTCTTTCTGAATTTGTCAACCATTCTAGTCATTTTCTCTTTGGGCAAAAGGGCCTAGTCAGAGTACAGAAAGCAAATAAGATGAGAAGAATTTAAATTTGCTTTCTCAGAGGTGTCCAAATTATGCAAAACTCTTATTCATGTCTAATAAGAGTAAAAAGCATGATACTTTATATAGCAGTGAGATGATACAGAAAAAATCTCTTTATTTTCTTATTCTGCTTAATTCACAACTAATATTGTCAAATATGGGTCCTCCGATTTTTTTTTTGAGAAACTTGCTTCTGTGACTTTTCCCTCTATATCCCTCATCACTGCCATTTGAAAGACCTAGAACAATAGAGCATATAGGTTTTGAGAGGTCAACTGCCTGGAGCTACCACTTAGCTTTGTGATCTTGAACAAATAACTAAACTTAGTAAACTGCTCTCAGTCTCCTCTTCCATAAGATAGGATTTGTTATTTCAAGGGTTAGGAAAATTAGATGAGCTAACACATGTAGAGCCTTTTACAGGAACCATAGTAAAAGTTCATTGAGTGTTCTTGCTATTTCAAGAACTAACATTTCATTGCTTTGAATGCCAATTAAGAAAGGGTTTAATGAGATCTTGGTAGCTTTTTGATTATTTCACTTCCAAAAATTATAAAAAAAGAAAAGAGAATCACAAGGTTGAAAGGGGAATGTTGCTTAGGAAAAGATAGAATAAGATGTATGAATTCAGGTTGTCAGTATTTTGGAAAGAGTACTTTGGTAAGCATTTTGTTTCGATAGTTTTGATATCCAGTATTTCCTAAAGTTTTTGACTCTACTACATAGATAGGAGGTAGATAGTACTATTCCCATTTTAGAGGCTTTTAGAACATAGAGACTTCAGAACATAAGGTTTAATGTCTGAGGAAAATGGGAAGTAATGAATAAAGATTTGACTCCATCCCTATATGGTGAGAAGGTTTGAGACACATGAAACAGAAAGTGAAGCAGGAAGGAATATTTATTTGACAACTTTAAACGTTATGCTAACCTGATACTATTAGAGGCTCAGTAGAATTTTTTCTCTTCTTTATAATTACCTTCTTTGTATTTGAGTGTCTAGTTATAGAATTGTTTCGTTTATGTGTAGCAGATTTACAAACTAACAGTAAATGTCAGTGATCTGTTACCTTTGTAAACTTTGCCTAGTACACTTACTTCCAGATGCCATGATTTCCTCATCTATCTTAAGGGACTAATTGCACTTGTTGCATGATTATAAGGGCATATCACTTTAAGGTTCTCATGAAAATATGTGACAAGTATGAGATGCTGAATAATTTACACAGATTGTTAGGGTGAGAGAACTTTGGTCTAGAGGAATTGGACTTAAGAGAATATAGAAGATGAACTTTTCATCATCTAAACCAGGGCATGACCTACAACAGGGCCACAGATAAAGAAATGATTTTTTTTCTTTTGGAATTATTTTTTTCCAGCTAGGGCTTTTTCAAACTAGTCCAGAATTCTGTGAGAAATTTGGTGACATCTTATAATTTAAAAAAAAAGTTATTCACATTGCATTGCTTAAAGTCCTGGTATATGGGGCTGTAGACAGCAGAATGCTCTGCTTGCTGTATGAGAATAAAAATACTCTCACCAGATTTTTTGACTTAACTGACAGTTTTATAGCAGTATTGTCAACCCATCATTCAGTGTTGCAACCAAATGCATGAGAGCCTACATGACAAACTAAAAAGACTGTTTTGTTGTCTCCATTTCCCTGAAATCTCTATTGCTAATGAAATGCCAGCCAATATCTTCCTCTCAGGTATTGTCTATTAGAGGCTTGCTTATTTTAGAGAAGTGGAATCAACCATATAAATTTCCTTCTTTTGACATCCAGCACCTGCTGTCAACCTGTTATAGCTACAAGCAGCTTTCAGAATTTACATCCATCAGGATGCCGCTGGCAACCAAAGAGTTCAGTTCAGTTCAACCAATATTTGAATGTTTACTCTGTGCCAGTTAATATCAGAGGTGATGGAGGGGTTACAGGGAGCAAAGATTCAGCATTTGTCTTCAAAATGCTTAAGATCAAATGTGAGTATTTGGACAAGTATGTTCAGGCAAGATCATCTGTGATATAGATTTTCATAGAGCAGTATTATAAATTAAGAAAGAGCTAGAAGAGAGGAGATTGGCTCTGAGTGCAGGGGTCTTGAAATGCTTCTACAAGGAGATTAAATTTGATCTGGTCATGAAGAAGACTGAAAAGCAGACGGTTACAGAGAGAAGGAAATTTAAGGAAGAATAATAGAAAAATGCAAAATTAAAACCGTATTAGTGATGATATGACAGATAAATTTCTAGATATGAGGTGTGGGGCGGGGGTATGGGTGTGTGTGTTGTGGA